AAAGATGTAAATGCCCATAACTTGAATTATAAATCTACGTTTTCCCCCCGCCTCCCACCTTATTTCTAATGCCAATATTCATTAGTTAGCCAGTTTTTTTTTCCCCCCTCACTTTATGATTTTTAAAGTTCCCTTTAATTTTTTCTACCCTCTAGTCAAATTTCTTTCTACAGAATCTTTTCCGAGAAGAAGGGAAGGCAGAAGGGCAGCAAAGCAGTAACTGCCTATAAAACTCTCGAATTCTTGAAATGTGTAAAGAATACATATTTGGTTTATCTACAACACCTATAATACCCACCTGTTTTAAAACAAGCAACTGCAAGATATTCTGATGAAAGTGTGATCTTCATGTTTGCACGCTCTCTTTCAGTACAGTACACACAGTATTTCCGACGGTTACGACCTGCACTAAAGATGACGGGAAAGCTGTTAATTCCTTGGGACTGCCAGTTCCCCGCGCTCCCCATGACTCAGGGCAGGGGAGGGTACCCGGAGCTTCCCCAGCCAGATGCTCAGCAGGGCAAGGAAGATTTGACCTTTTCCTGGCAGCAGGAGCTTCGTGAACTTTTCTCTGCATTTGAGCTACTGCCAGGCAGCCACACACGTTATTTATGCGCTAGTTTGCCCGCGGTGAGTTGCTTGTTCAGGACAACGCTGCGGGCTGTAAGGTGAAGCAGGGAACCTTTAATCTGCAAAAACGGAACAAGAGGTTGAAGGAAGCTGAGACTTTTTCTGAAGGTTGGTATGCTTGGGACTTCAAAGCCTAAGAGCGTTTTTGTTTTGTACTGCAAATGTGGAAAAGCTTAGTAAGATTTCTGAGCGTTGCCTGGTAATGTTACTCTAAATAGCCTGCAATCCAACTGGTCGAAGCAGTTATTCCTTCCAGGTGCATGCCTATATAAAAACCTCTGGAGTGTGCATCTGCCCACAGGGAACCTCCAGCACCCTCTGCCACTGCAGGTAACTGCCCAGCTAACCTCATCTGGCACGTGTTTGTGTTCTCTGCTACCTAACAAAGGACATATGCTTGTCTGAACTCTTCTATTTCAGGTGTCAGCCAACAGAATCCAGCTTACTTAACACCTACGATTTCATGAGGAGTGACTATCATTGCTGGTTTTCAGTTTTGGATGCATTTACCTTGTGGACTCAAATATCATATAGATTTACTATAGTGATGTTCCTAGCACTGACGTTTATTTCCTAACATTTATATTCATTTTTTAATATATGTATACATATATTTTTTTTTTTACTTAGTGCATGAGAATATGAGAAAAATGCGTTAAGCTCTAAGAAACACAGATGCTTGCGTATGGTATAAATGCATGTCTAAACCCTGTCTGACAAAGAACATACTGCAACTGTATTTCTATGTGAGTGAATGGAATTGGCTTTTGCTCACGTAATTCAGACTAAAAGACTATGCCATGTAACTTTGTGCAGAGGTGAGAAACACATTTCAGCAGTTGTGTTTACAGCTGAAGACCCCGTGA